TGCTTAGCAGAGTTGAAAATAGTTTGCTTATTAATCATAGTAAATTTTGAAATTTTCATCTGACCTATACATAGATTGTTCAGGGTCCTATGATGGTGATAATGCTTTTAAAGGACATGATTATTCCAGAATCCATTGGTTGAAGCTTAGAAGTTGTGTTAGATAATAAAAAATAAACTTTAACATTTTTAAGAATTAGATTATCTAGCTTATGACTTGTACAATTATCAAGAAGTAATAAAATACGTTGTCTATTGTGTTTTATACCAATCTGATAATCAAATTCTTGAAGCTATTCTTGAAAAAGAGTTGTTAACATCCAAGCCTTTTTATTATTCCAATAGGTCATTGGTAAATTTCTAATATTAATATGTTTAAAGCATTGTGGATTTGCATATTTACCAATTATCAAAGAATGTAGCTTATGTGATCTATCAGCATTTGCACATAAAGCAACTGAAAGGTATTCTTTGTTTTTTTTACGCTCAGAAAGCTACTTTGTAACTAATGTTTGATCTGGTTCTAATTTATAAAAAGAAATTCATTTTAATATATAATCAGCATTAGTATTTATATAAAACAATACCTATCGATAAAAAAGTTCTGTTTCATCCATATTGTAAATTCGATCAGGAGAATACTCTGCATATTTACTTTGTAATAATAGTAGAGCTTCAGCAATAGCATTATCATCAGCAAAATCTGCTTCTCCATGAAGCTTTACTTGATGAATGTTATTATGTTCCTTAAATTTTTGAAGCCACCTTTTGAAAAAACTATATTAAATAAATATTAATAAATAAGAGTTAAATATTAAACACTACCATTAAAAGAATAACTCTAACTGTTAAATAAATTCGCTTGTATTATTAAAAATAAGAGAAATTAACCTACAATGTCTCTTGAGAAACTTCCAGTTCATTAGCTAATAATTTAACCTTTTCAATTATTATAGCATTGCTTAGAATCATTTTATTTTGATAGCATAAAACAAATTCTTTAAGAGCAAGCTCAAGTTTTGAAACATTAACAGCTTTATGACATTTTGCTTCAGACTTTGTAACTTTTTCGGTAAATCATTTATCTTTACTTTGCAAAATTCGTGTAATGGTAGATTCATTAACTCTGACTCTCCACTTTTGTTCAACCCAGTCTACATATTGAATTCAAGTTTTCTTATTGTCACGAGCATGAAGATAAAGTTCGTATTTTTGAATATCTATTAAGGTAATATTTTTTTTAGGTAGCATGATGATTAATGAGATGTTTATCAAACTGTGCGTATTGCACGTACTGTATATCATTATATACTTCAGAAATTTTGGACATGGATTCAAGAAATTTGGGAATTTCAGATTTTATACAGATCACGTACATGCATTTATAGAAAATAATATTATATGATCGTTTTGATAAATCATTACACGTGTAAAGTATAAAGGGTGTGTAATTAGTATTAAGTCTCAAGTTAGGACTAAAAAAAGTGTGCATTTATAGAGGATATGCATTTACAAAGTGTGCAATTATAGAAGTTGACTGTAGTATTAATTCTTTTATAGCTTCTACCATTCACTTATTGTAGTTTCATCACATCTATAAATAAAAATAATAAATGTTTTAATAATTTCTTTTATAATAACTAGAAATCAGAAAAGTAAAATAGAATCAAAGGATAATATCAAAGGAAATCAGAATAATTATCTTAGTTTTAAATGATTTATTTATTGAAATATCTAAAAGTTATAAGTGAAATATTAATCCTTTAAGAATTATCATAATATTAGTATTTTTTTTCACTGAAACGTCTTTAATAAAATCAATAATGTAAACAAAAAATGAATCCAAAACTAACAATGATAGTGGATTAGAAATTTTTTTACATTTAGTCTAAACATTTTTGATCTAATAAAACATTTTATTTTCATTTATCTATCCTATTTTATTTGCCTGAATAATTACTTTTGAAAAAAAATTTTCTTGCAGAACATTCTTAAGTTTGAAAATTATAAATAAAAAAAGTTTTGTTCCATCCACCATACAGATTAAAATTATTATAAAGTTAGCTTTTCATATTCTATTATGTAGATACTAACTGATTGTGCATTCAATTCATTAATAGTGATATTAGTAGGAAGATTAAAGAATACCAGTGTTTCATTCATATTTCTAATATATACTAAAGGATAATCATACTATATATACTGATATATAATGAATGCTAAAAATGCTTGCTATTTTTTAACTAGATCATCAAGTAAATATTGTGCAATAGTAATGCAGTGGCAATTACTCAAATTTTTTTGATACATAAAACCATTTAGCCGCTTATTACTAAAAGCAAAAGATTCAACACCAGAGCATATAATTTGCCATTGGTATTGTTATGCAAGTGCTTTTTAATCATGCTTTGCATAACTGCATTCTGATTTTTGCTTTTTTTTTACCTAAGTAAGCAAAGCAGTTTTTAAAGCAAAGTATTTCAGTTTTGCTCCTATATTTAAACATTTAACATCTTGTTGTATTTTAAGTAACTGAGGTTTTTTAGATATCCAGTTACAAAGTTGATTTGTTTGAATGTTAAACTTGGATACTGTCTTATTTTTACTATAGTCATTTTCATAATACATAATAATAGCAACTTTTTCACATGCGTTCTAATACCTTTTATTTGCTTGAAGAGGACCTATTTTATAAGTAAAATAAAGAAATAAAAATTTGTGAAAATAAGAACGTGAAGAATATTGACGTAATTGAAGATATCATTTTAAATCTGATTTTAATAGTCATCATTGCAATAAATTGAATTAATTAAAATTTTTACATTTTACGTTTGAAAATTTTTTATTTTATTAATTGAATTTTTTTAAGAAAGCTGTTAAAAAAACTCTTTGATTACTTAATTATATTATCACATGATTAGCACCCTTCCTTTCAATATACCCCCTCTTATAGTACCCCTCCTCACATAACACCCCCTGGGTACTATACAATCTAAGCAGGATGTTTGAAAAACACCGGGGGTGTTATATGCAGCGCTATACGGTAGACGCTCTAGACGTAAAAACAGAAGTGGCACATCACTTTCAAAAAGTTGCTTGATCATCACATAAGGAGATTCCAATTTCAGATGATTTTTTGGTATATTATTTGTGGTTGCTTACAAAATCTCCTCCATTCCAATCTGGCATTTGTCTACCCTAAAACCATGGGAATACAACCTCAACAACATCAGACCTATTACCTTACTCAAATGTTTCCAGAAAAGCTTTATTAAACTACTTGAACATATTCAGCTTTATGTATAACAAAAAAGACCTCCTTGTATATAGTAAAATATTTTCCCAAAGCGTAAATTGTAGTAAATCACTTAATCTGTCTCGTACAAATCAAACGTAAAATTCAAACTAATCAAATCTTACCATTGTTTACATCAACAATCAAACGAACTTATATTTTTCACAAAGTAATAATAAAATAAGTTTGTTTGATTTCTTGACTTGATTCTAAAAATCATAATTACGATGCTAATAATTTTTTTCCGGCTCTATATATGCTCAAAGATACAGCAGACATATTACCTTTCTTGATTCTTTCCTTGCAGAGAAAATCGTTGTCTATTCAGGCGCAGCATTAATTTCTGTCACCAGATTTTCGTCACAAGCTGAGAATAATCAGATCAAACCGATCCTGTGCGACCATTTCCCCTTATATATCACACGTTTGGTGTATCTTTCGCGACGCGACAATCGATTTTATTTTTATCTTTCTCCCAACTTAAAACTTTTAATAAAGTTAAGTAATTAATTATATTTCCTTCTCCTTGTAATCAACAGTTTTGTTAAGCAAGAAGGAAGCGCCTGCGACAGAGGGAGCCTGTCGGAAGCCAGCAATGGCGAGTCATCATCAAGTCGGTGGCCGGCTGACTTCATTGCGAAGCAAATACTGAGGGTTTGTTAAACATGGAGGCGCCTGCGATAGAGGGAGTCTGTCGGAAGCCAGCAATGGCGAGTCATCATCAAGTCGGTGGCCGGCCTTACATGAATGACAACCTATTTTTAGCGATTGTTTCATTTCTTTATTCAACAAGATTTTTAATTTTATTTCTCTTTACTCTAATAATGTCTAAGAATATAACTCGAAAAGAAGCCAATATCAACTGGATGTTAGCTTGCCCAGATCCAACCCGATCTCATTCTTTCGAAATATATTTCCAAATCATCGGGGCCGAGCAGAGTTAGAAATAATTTTTTACAGTATGACAAAAGTACCTTAAAAGAATACCATCCAATTACATACATCCATTGCTTCCTTCATTTTTTTGAGTTTATTCTTAAATTCCTGATTATCAGCTTCATTAAAAGCCAAATTAAGAATATTTCGATATTTTTCAATTGCTCTCCCTACTTAATAGGAAGCAAGTATACTAAAGGATTGGGAAACGTTGTTGCAAGGAAAAGCAGCAGTATGTTCAGTTAACTTGCTTACTTAGATAATTTTATTTGACGTTTATAAAAATCCGTATACAGATTTTAGTTCGCCGATCTGTCCGCCGTACGAATATCAATCTCCATAAGGAAATTAACACGTTAGCAATGAACGAGGTAAATCATACTCTTCCAAAACTATTAAATGGGTATGCTTAAATTTTAATAAATTTTTACTATAGAATACAAAAGGAACCGAAGAACATTATGAAGAACCATATTCTGATATTGATTCGAGTGAAGAGGAACGAGATGAAATTGACGAATTTTTCATGGACAAGAGGGATGATAATAATGGTAACACCGATGTGAATTTGTAGAGCGCATAGAAGAATGCCTATCGACTTGTCATCAGTCATGGATCCTCAGCTAGCGGTCAAATGTTGGAGAAAAATTGAAAAATTACGTCAAATCGATTCCCGAAGCATAGAAATGCGTGAAGTAAGTTTATTGAATTGCTCAGAGGTCATTAACAATATAGATGTTAATGATGATTTCGTTAATCCCGGAACTTTTTTTTTTCACTTATAGTCTCGCATATTGGAATATCCTCGACTTGAGTGATGATTCCCAAATGAAATATCTCTTTTCGATGGATGACTGGGAAGAAATTATTGGAAGCATCAATAATGAAGTAAAGTTGGTCGAATCGGATATTTCGGATGTAGTTGTGTACTTTTTTGACGAAGTTGAAAAGGTAATTGAAAAGAAATTATTTATCTTGTTATTGCACTTTCAAAATATTTCTCTGATTCATACAATTTTAGGCCACAAAAAAAGATGACAAGATATAGTCAATACGATCGATAGTCTAACTCCAGATATCATCGAAGACGATAGTACTATGGAAACTGATAATCAAGACTTTGTTATGATTCCTCGCCCTTCTTCTCATGCCGTTGCAGCAACTATTGGGAAATCTGCAAAAGACCTCCAGACCCCGAAAATCATTCGAGAAATCAATAACCTGTTTGCGCATCCCAGAATCTCATCCAAAAAAAATTTACGAAGATAAAATCGATCTTTGTGTAGCAATGCGAGACGTTTTATATACATTTTTTAAAGAAAATTCAAAAGCACCTGGATCTGATGTTCATAGCACTTATGTTCTTAGAATATATTCGTGGGGTAATTAAGCAGAAGACAATTGTAGTAATGAAGTTTTAGAAATTGTAATGACTTATAGTTTTCTTTATTTCTTGCTAAGGTTGAGTTCATGAAATATATGGAATGGATTGTAAAGCAAAGAATTTGCTACGACTTGGAATACTAAACCATGCAAGGATGCCTAACACCAGTGATGTGCATTTATGCTTCCAATAGTATAAAATTTAATTGGAAGCTTCCAATCCGAATGAATTTATTAGAGGATTATGTTTCCAAACCTTCCAAAGGTACTTCCAAGAGTGCTTCCAATCTTCCAGGTGCACATCACTGCCTAACACTTTAAAAACTCTATCAATTCTCGAAAGTTTTATACTATGCTTATCTTTGTTACTGTTAATAATATTAAGCATCTCACTATTATGTTTATCTCATTTCAGATGACGTTGAATACTATTTGTGAACACACAAATAATATCTCAATTGCACATTCACGTGCACACAGAAATCGAAAAAGAAAAAATTCAGAACAAGTTAGTGAGAAAGGAGGATCATTTGGACAGTGTTGGCATTGTACCTTGTCAATTCCCAATAATGGAATATTGGACTTTGGACCTAATGGAAATGTTGTTTTACATAATATAAAATTTATAGCTGTTAGACGAAGTCTATTGTCCAATAGTCCAAATTATGGAATTAGAATGGATTAAGTTCAGTAGCAATGGTTCAAAAGTCCATTATTCCAAAAGGTTAACACTGCATTTGAAACTCTTTCACAATCACCAGCAAACAAAAAAGGTAGAAAACATGAATAATGAATTATGGAAAAAGTCAATAATTAGGATATAATATATATAGGAATAATGTATACACTTAAAACTTGTGATTACTTTTACGTTATTATTGCAAAAAATGAAGTACAGTTAGACATCCATATAGTTACCTATTCGATTTCCTCAAAATTGGTGATTGTATAGAGGTGTGACTGTAAAAAGGTATTCTTTATACAGTCACAATTATATTAATAAATTATATGCAGTGATTATATAAAATTTTTCTCATTAGATATAATGAATTAATAGTTAATTTTTAAAATGTAATGATAGGTAATAGTTACTCAGCACTTCATGCTGAATAACTATTGTATTTGCAATAAGCAATATGATCAAGTGGAATTTGCTGAGCAAATTTCACTTGATCATATTCTTATTGCAAATATATGTAAGGCATGGCAGTGTTGCAGTTATAAGGTCACATAGTGCTGAGTAACTGTTTTATCAGTTTACACAAAATAGTTTAATTTAAAAACTTTATTAGATTATTTTTTAGTTTTATTAAACCATTTTTCATAAGAATAAATGATATTTCTTTTTATTTTACGTGTTTTGTTTTTTCCCAAAAACTTTTTTTTCTTTTGATAATATAAATGACACAAAATATTTCATCTAAAAGGTAATCAATTACCCTTTCTTAAATAACTGTTAGCACTGTGAAAGGTAAAGTTTCTCAAAACATAATTGTTAACAAAGTAATGATAGTTTAAGAAATATTATAAAAATTTCACTTTCAATAAATGAATTAATAAATAGTTATTTACAATTTGACATAATAACTAATTGTACGAGCAAAAATCATCAATTAGTAAATGACCGATAATTAATTTTATTAAATACAATAATAGTTTTTAGAGCACTTTTATAAATGTAAATTTATTTGTGATATAAATACTATATAATATTATAATACTATAATTATCATATAAACTACATATTAATCAACTGTTAAAAAAATCTGTAATTGAAGCTTGCTTTTGAGGTTGTAATTCAAGTTGTTTGATTATCTTAAATATTTGTTAAAGATTTTTATATCTACTATACAAAATTCATTTGCTATTACTTAAAAAATGTAATTCATGTTTGTAGAAATTTGAGAACATCACTTGAAGATATTGGCATTTGTTCTTCTTCAGACTTATTATTTTCACTACTTTTATTATGCATTTCCTCTTTAATAAGTTTTAGGACTTCTTTTAAGTCATAAAAAAAATTATTCAATGCATCTATTAATAAAGGATTATTCATATTGAGTTTTATAATCATTTAATTAATATTTGCTTTTCTTTTTTCAGCTCTTTCTTATTGAGTTTACATTACATCATATATATCTTCATTAGATAAAAAAGAAAGAATCCCAATTTTTTTCTAATAATTTTGAATTGTTTCTTTAGTTACACTATCTTATGCTTCTGCAATATAGTTATTACTTCTTTAATACTAATCTTCTCTTTGTTAATATCTTTTTCATCTTCAAAAAGATCTAACATATAACAATAATATTTTTTCTTGAAATGGTTCATAAAACTTCAGCATCAAGCAGTTGAAAATAATTATAGTATTGAAAGGTAAAAAATAACTTTAATATTAGTTAGCTATTGTTAGAAAATATTTAACTCACTATCATAATCTTTATCACAATCTCTTGATCTTTTATTATGATCTTTTATTTTTCTATCACAACTACTGTTTTTTTATCTTTTATTGTGACTACTATAGAGGGTGATCACGAGTACCTGAACGATTAATTAAACTATTTGAATTTACTTATTATATTAACTTTTTTTTTAGAATAAGCAAAAAATTTATTTGTTCT